CTCCTCCAGGGCAAGCGGGAATCGAACTCATGCGGAAGCGGCTTTAGATTCTCAGTGCTGTGCTTTAACCCGCTGTGCCACCAGGGAGGGCCCTGCTAGCATTATTTTAAACATTATCTCTCACAGTGCCTGAAGTTCTTGCTTAAAACCAGTCATTTGAACTGCACTTGCCTTTTGATTATGCAGAGGACAGATAAGGCAGCTCCTGTGATGTGAGTTTGAGGGGTATGTGTAGGATCCTGGGATTTTGATATTTAATTTGATTCCTTTGGCTTTTTTTGTCAAGTAATTTTGTAGAAATTGTATTTTCTTGTATTTCTGTTGGTCTCCTCTGGGTTTCGAAAAGGATGGAAAACTGTTGCCTTGGAAGAGGAATTAAATATTAAATGGGGTGGGTGGTCATTTTTTTCCCCTGCTAACTTCATCTCTCTTTCCAGGCCTCTACTATGTGGACAGTGAAGGAAACCGGATCTCAGGAGTTACCTTCTCTGTAGGTTCTGGCTCTGTGTATGCCTATGGAGTCATGGATCGGGGCTACTCCTATGACCTGGAAGTGGAAGAGGCCTATGACTTGGCTCGTCGAGCCATCTATCAAGCCACATACAGGGATGCCTATTCAGGAGGTTCAGTCAACCTCTACCATGTCCGAGAGGATGGCTGGATCCGAGTCTCCAGTGACAATGTCGCTGATCTGCATGACAAGTACAGTGAATCTACTCCCTGAAGGAGGGGGGGATGTGGCCACTTGGATTTCTTGGGGTGACTGTTGTTGATAATATGGTTACAGCACACCATCCCGTAGTGAGGGGGTTCCTACTTATATTGATAATTTTTTTTTAAGCTCTGGTGCATTGACCAGATGCAATGTTACTAGTTAATGAGCTGCTGCAGGGGCATATTTGTTCTACTTTCTTGGATGTTAACATTACACTACTCCATCTCAGCCTGTGTTGTGTCTTTTGTCCACACTGTCCCTCCTCCAACCACTTCACAGTCAAATAAGCCAGGACAGTGGGAGGGAAGTGACTGTAATTACAGGAAACAGTGGTGTGAAGACATTGTCTAGTGAATACATTAATGTCCCCACTCTCGAAGCTAATAACAAAGGAGAAGGAGACAGAGGCAGAGAGGAGGGAGAGATTTCCCAATTCTGTTTGCAAAGAGATGAAAAGTTGATGAGGTGGAAAGATGCATAGGGCTGTACCAGCAGAGCTGTGGAGGGAAAAACGTTCACCCTGTGGTGCGGGTGGGGGACGCTGATGCTCAGTGCAGAACAGTAAGGTGAAGAGGGTAAATCTTGAATCTAAACCAGTTTGGGAGGGGCAGACTTGGACCTTGGGAAGGGGAAGGACAAAAATAGGTGAGTGCGGAAGCAGCAGTGACCTTGATCGTGGTGGTCCTCATCCTCGGTCCTGCAGTGTGTGTGTGTGTGTCTGGGGGACACAGGGGTATGATGGGGGTTTACAGCCCGGGCAGGAAGCAGCACAAAATTGCCACTGGAATGTGTGGGTGGGAAGAGGCCCTGCTGAGAACAGAGGGATGGCTGATTTATCACACCCGGCACTGAGGAGGTTGGTTCCCAAGCTATGGAAGCAGCAGATGGCAAGGCCTTCTGTTAAAAGGAGACGGGATGCATAAAGGAAGTAGATGGAAGAAACCCTTTAAAAAATGGGCTAGGAGGGCACTGAAAACGCTGCTTTGTATTAAGTTAGCAAGAGGGATGAAAGTAGCAGTGAGGGTGACCACCCAGGGTCATATTTTGAGACTGAGGCATTGGGTGGAGGGGTTCATAGAAACGGGGGTGAGGCTTCTTTGCCCTCTACTGCAGCTCCCTTCCCTTTCTGCACCTTCCCTTCCCCCTCAGCCTCCTGCAGTATTGATTGATGACACTGTCGGCCAGGAACTGATCAAGGCTTGTTAATTGCATTTGTCAAATGCAGGGAAATTGGGAATTAGTGAGATTGGAGAAGGGAGTTTAGAAAACAAATGACTCTCCCGCCTAAGGAGATTCATCTCGCTGGAAAGTGCCTCCGGAGTCCCTGGAGTCAGGGAGCTGCTGGCCCGGAGCTTGATCTCCTTGAAGTGGGCAGAGGCCACGCTACATAGTCTCCAGCAGAGCCAAGAGGCACAGGGACAGTCACCCTCCTCTCAGAACACTGATTTGAAGAACAATTCAAAAGTTTGAACCTTTTAAGAAAAATGAACTCTTAGCAAAAATCCCCATATTTGAAAGAAAGCAAGTTAAAAGTTGAGGGGTCTGCTCTCCTGTCGCACCCCCTGCTCCCCCTCAGCCATATATTTCAGTCTATCTGTCTGTTCTGCTCCCCATTGTCTCACCCCCCGCACCTCTGGCCTACACCCCAGTTCTTATATGCATAAATAATAAATCTTCTAAAAATACAACGAAGTGAGGGGTCCAGAGCCTCAACCACTGAGTTTCCCATACAACCCCTCCCCTACCCCACACACATACTCTCCTGCACTTCTTGGAGCCCCAAGGAACACAATTTGAAAGCAGCTGCCCTGGGAAATAACCTTGAGGGTAGAAAGAAAGGTGAAGACTGGGACTACTTTGCATGACCCCAGAGAGCAGAAGACTCCCTAACCTCTTCATTTGTGAAAGAAAAAGTCTGGAGGGAAGAGATGGTCTTGAAGCAATGCTCCCTCCCCCTGTTCCCTCACGCCTGGCTTGGCAGTAGTCAGGCTGTTTAACATGAACGTGTTCCCTGCACGGCCGAGTCCAGTTCAGGTGAGAAAATGCGTGACCTACAGTCCCAGGTTCTCTTCTAGCAGGTCTCGTTGTCTCTGCACCTCCTGGTTCTTGCATAACATTCACTCGATGGAAGATCAATTGGTGGTGTTTTCTGGGAGAGCAGTGGTAGGGGGAACTGCATGGTCTAGGCCCACGTGCCATCGCCCTGTGCAGTCGCTTCTCGCTGCTGGGGACTGGTCGGGAGTTGGCTTTGCAGTCAGGTTGTATGTCTGGCTCGTGTGGGATGATGGATGCTGCATAGCACTGAGAGATGCTGTTGAGTGGAGTGTACCAGTTCAGGGACTCCCATCAGATTCATTTCCCAGTGCAGTCTTCTTGACAAAGGATGATGGAAAAGAAATTGCCTTAAATAGCTGGAAGATTAATTTCTCTCGGCAGTTCCCAGGCGTCCAGAGGACAGGGCTCTTTAAGTGATGTCTGACAATTTCTCCTCTTCCCACAGATAGCTCAGTAACACCAAAAGCTGACTCCTCAGGATAGGTGATGGAACTGATCTTATTAAACAGGGAGCAAACACTCCTAGAGGCCGCTGCTTTCTCTTGGAGCAGGGAGTGCTGTGGCTTGGACGCCCACGTGCCTTCCAGCATCCGCACGTGGGCACGGACGAACTCTTGTGGCCAGTAGAGTGTTCGTGAAGGAAGGTGAAAAGCTGGAGAAGGACGATGTGGGGGAAGGAAAAAGGGCGCTATTAAAGCAAATCAGGGACTGAAGCATAACAGTTACTGAGTGTTCGTTCTCTCTTTAGGCAGAACCAGAAGGTTGATGTCTCTTGATATCCTCCTCAGCCAGCAAATGAGAAAACTGTCAGAGCCATTTGGGGAGTAGGAGGTTATAACCTTTGAGGGGAAATAAAACAACTGATTTATTCTGGTCCATGGGTTCTCTGTGGTCTGTTAAGGAAGAAAAGCCAGGGTGGGATGAAAAGGGAGTGAGGTAAAAGTCAGAGGAGGGAAATTCCGAGGCTGCACTTCCCTGGGCTCAGGAGGAAGGAGGGTGACTGGGTCAATGGAGGATTTACAGGAACATATCTAATTTGGTAGTAGAGTTAGTTGTTTTTTTTTTTTTTCCCCTGCCGTTTCTGTTTTGCTAGAAGAGTCCCTCCTGCCAGGGCTAGAGCAGATTAGATACCTCCTGAAAATGACCAGCAGCTGTGACCTCAAGGCATGATTAAGTGCTTTATGTCTTAAAATATATGCATATTGCAACCAAGCACCTCTGCTGTTTTTTGTTTCTTGTTTGTTTTCAAAATTCTATTTTCCCTTCAGGAAGCCAGAATCATATTGAGAAAGGATTAATTATAGTGGGCAAGAGGAGAGCACCAACGTGGCAATCAGAAGTGCCCTGATCAGCAGCTGCTCCTCTCCCGCCTGACCAACCCTCCCCCCCCCATCAGCTGACTGTCCACAGCCCTCTGTGCTCCCGGCCTGGCCTCTCAGCCAAGTTCATGCTTCCAGGGGCTATGCCCCACTGAAGCATTTCAATAAACACCATTTCTAAACTGCCCCGCTCGCTGTAGTTAGTGGGTCAGGCAGAAGAAATTCTACCCACGTCAGCTTCTTAGGTTTGTTTAACCCAATTCATTTCTCCCTGAAGCTTTTGCCTGAGTTAGGTGCCATGCCAGCCTGACTGAGTACTTAACCCTTCACGATCCAGATTTACCAGCATCAGCCATAACTCTCTGACCTGCCTTAACTGAAAGGAAACAAGACCACGGAGGGTTCCCCCTAGGGGCCCCCACCATCCTCCTGAGCTGCCCCTCTCTTCTTGCTTTTTCTCTCTGTTCTCACCTTATAAAAATTCCCTTTACTTTCCACCGCAGAATTTAAATAAAACCAATCAATCAATAAACCAAGTGCTGCTTATGGACTTGAATGTAACAAGAAAAGGTTATCACTAGCTGCAGGGTACCCAAAAGATTGGTGTTACAGAGGGAGGCACGGGTGGGATGAAAGTGAACTAGAAAGAATAGGAGACAAGTGAGAGAAACAAATTCAAGTCCTGGACAGCAAACGTGAGACCGAGCAGAGTGCAGAGGGAGACGTGGCTGTGGCTGAGAAGATGGATGGAGACATTGGTGGGCAGAGCTGGGCTGGGGGTGGGGACCAGGCAGTGACAAAGGAGACTGAGAAGGACGGTGATAGAGAGAAACAGGGAGGAAGGAAGCAGCTAGAAGCTAATGTACAATGAAACATGTCCCCCTGGAGACAGATAATTTCGCCAGTCATACATAATGAACACGTGCCTCTGTGTGTTGTTCCTGGACTGTCACAGTCACTTAACGTTCTGCAGGCTTCTCTCCATGCCTATGGTGCGTGTGCAAGTCTAGAGAGGCTTGAGCTCTCTCAAATCATTTCCTCAACCCAGCCAGGCCAGAGACAAAAGTGGAAACCTCTTTCATAAGGGGAGCTGGATAAGTGTGGATCACAAATTCAGTACCTTTTACTTTTTTTTTTTTTGTAAAGATTTACTTATTTATGCATATAAAAACTGAGTACAGGCCAGAGGGGTGGGAGGTGAGCAGATTCATCAGAGACAGAGTTGGGGAGCAAAATAGGCAGATAGGTTGAAATACACTGCTAAGGGGAGCAGCGGGTGAGACAAGAGGTCTGCTGTGCCATGTGGGTCAGCTCCCTGGCCGGGGATCAAACTTGTGCCACAGGGGCTGCAGCTGGCTTCATAGTGCTGTGCTTTAACCCACTGTGCCTCCAGAGAGGGCCCCCTTGACATTTTTCATTTGTAGTTTCAGAGAGGTCCTCTCTCCCCTCCCCTCCATACCCCTTGACCACATACCTCGCACCTACCCAGCTCGTCCCCTTTTTCTATTCATGCCCACAAGTCAGGCTGTTCAGATTGGTGTGTGGATGTGGGAGAGGAAAGGAGCCAACTGTACACACATACACCCAGAAGACTGACAAATAGCAGGTGCTTCAGGTAGGAAGGAAATAAGTCAGGACAAGTAGGAGTGTTGTAGACCACAACGGGCCAGAGCCAAGGGGATATTTTTACAGCTACTGCAGCTCTTTCCCTCACCTTCCCTCAGTTCCATCACTATCCCAGGAACTTACATTCTAAACCTCCCTGTGCACAGAAAGTTTCACACTATATGCTAAGCTTTTTCACAGCAGCTCCACTCAAGTGAGGATGTGTGACATACCCTGGTGAGAGGGAGG